AATCCTCTTTTACCAAAAGGCAATATGGCACACTCCAACTGAGACTAAAATATGGGACTATTGAGACTAAAATGTCCTACATTAAGCACTTTCTTATTTAAATCTGGTTACTACCATGAAGCAGAAAATCTATTTCCTTCATAGCATTTTAGTTGTTCAGAATATGCAAAGCTATTTTTTCCATAGCTTTGATTTTTCCTGAATGCTAAGAAGAGCTATTTGGAATTTGTGAAACTTGATACGGTCCCTTTCTAAGTTGTGATATTAATTCTGCAGCTATGTCAACAATCGAGTTCCCTGGATGGGTGGCATGTTTTCATGTTTTAGTATTCCCAGGTCCCTCACTCTACAATCCCCTACTCTTTTCCAGAAATTATTAAAAGGGAGAGAAGAGGTGAGGGAAATAAAGAAACAGACGACTTGTAACTGTTCTAGATTTTCTTCTGTTTCTTGTTAACTTTTTCCCCTTCTATACTTTTTTTCTAACATTTAAAAAAATTTTTCTTGCCACGGTATCTCCCCCAACCCCCATTGTCCTGAATACCTCCCACCCTCCCTCCTCCTGAGAACTTTACAGTCTCATTAGCTGTCCCCCTGACTGATGTATGTGCACATACCACAGTTCACTGGTCATCAGAGTGCTGGAGCCAAGGTTCTCAACTGCTATTACATTGCTCAAGTGTAAAGTGCCTGGGGCAATTAATTACTAATTATGAGTACCGAGTTTGTAAGTGCTTTATTTTGTCTGAAAGCAGGGTTGAGCTTAGCCCTACAATCATGTCACTGTCACCCACTTGCATGCAGAAATGCTTTCTTAAGTGGGAGGGAAAGAGCGACACTCCAGCTTGCTGTCTGGGAATTGTGCACAACTCAAGCTTATCTGCGCCACAGCCTGGTGGAGCACGCAAATGTCATCTGCCCTGGGGTTTTTTCTCAGCAGAAAAAAGGCTAAAACCCTAACCAAAGAACAGGCAGATGTTCCTACCTAAGATTAGTTTTTTATTTGTTTTTTGGCATGGGTTTTGACCAGATGGTATTGAAAGGTAAATGAACCTTGGGAAAAACATTGTTTCTCTCTTGTGTGTTTGTTTTTACTAGTTGTTATTTAGCAACACAATACTGAGGTTAGGATGAAAAAAATCACTCTGTAGAGTTTGTTAGATAGCTATTAAAGGAGCAAATCGGAAAGATCATATAAATGGAGGAAGACTACTTTTGAAAGTATATGGTGGATTTTGTTGCTTGCTCCTTAAACAGATATGTTGTGGTAAGAGATTGTAAGGACAGAATTAAAGATGGCAACACAGTAACCCATAAATCAAACAGGTTTCATGTGTAACCTGCAGTTGTGGTTTCATGTGTTTCAAACATCTGTTTGTCATGTCCATTAGTATAAAAACTTCAAAGGGATCTAATGTTTTCCCGGGAGGTATCTTTGTGGTAACCTCAATTTTTCTTTTTTAACTGATGTTCACAATCTCTACTTATTGTCTCAAATTTAACATAAAATGAAGTCTTATTCAAGCAGAAAGAATGTGATGAATATGTAGTTGTTCCTGTCTCTAGGGAGTAAACGAGTCATGGATGCATGAATTTCTCAGTTAAAAAAAAAAAGCTAGTGAGGCTGAGTTGGTGAAAAGAGAATGTTTACATTTGTTACAACCCAAAATGTATATAATACAATATATTGTAACTGCATGGTATGATCTAGCCCAGAACTGTGGCTCTGGAGATCACCTTAGATCTACTGACAGCAAAATCTATTAACTTCTTGTGAAAATTCAAGTGGTATTTTTGAGGATGTGGAACTTGAAAACTGGGAGTAAAAAATTGAGATTTTGTGTAACAGTTAAGTGATTGGCTTCTTTGGTCATTATCTTACTCAACCTCTCTGTAAAAATAAATTTTCTCACGAAGCTCATAAAATAGCTTCATCATTGGTGTTCAGATAACATGTCCTTTACAAAGCACTGTGTGGTAGTGGTGATGGATGAACAACTCTGTGGAAGTACTAAAACCCATTAACGTGTACACTTTAAATGGATTAGTTATTTGGAGTGTGAATTATATCTCAATAAAACATTAAAATCAATATATAATTATATTTGAAAATACTGTGGGGTTTTTTCCTTGGTAGATTTACCCCCCAAAAAACGAAACGTTCTTCATGACTTCTTCAGTAGCAAACATATGTATTGAAGTGCCCACTTTGTGTAGAGTACATTTCCAACTGTACCAACTTACAGGGTTGGGGGTGTGGGCCTTCCCACTGCACGTTTAGATGGCCCAGCAGGCCACTCACTACCACATCCACGTGCTTCTCCTCCCCATATCTGACACACGTGTTCACCAAACCTATGCATGCCATTTTATATCATTTAATTAAATTTTTAAAATAATCCATTTATGTATAGGCTCTAAAAGGAAGAGTTGTCCTTGTGAAAAAATAGTAGGCTTTGGAAAAACTAGGTAAAGGTAAATTGCTACCAAACAAATTGATACTGAATTAGGCATGAGAGAAGGAACTATAAAAGATTTTGGGGAACATCACCAAAACCTAGATTATATATTGTAATTAGTCTACTTGGGATACTCACAAGTATCCTAAGTCCTCCAAAACTAGAAATCATAGACAGTGCAGTACGACACGTAAGGAAAGATTGGCAGCAGAGTATACATTTAAGTTACAATTAGATATTTAAGGAATGTATATGGCACTTTTTTCGAATTTCTTACTTTAACCTTTCTGATTAGCCATCAGATTAACGATTCCTGCAGCATTGAATAAGAGAACCCTGTTATAGGATTCAGAGACACACATGAAAACTTAGATAATGTGGTAAAGTGGTAAAGGGGCGTAGGACTGGCAGCTAAGAATGGGCTGAAGTTATAGACTCGTGTGTGTGTGTGTGTGTGTGTGTGTGTGTGTGTATAACAGAGAGAGAAATGAACAAACAGAAAATAAAACTAAATCTACCTCTGTTGATGTTTATGGCCTCATTTTCTTCCTGTCCATTGACTACTGACTTCAAAGCTGCTGAGCCTGAGAAAAGTAATAAAAGATGCTCATTCATTAATCCAGCAAAGTCTGATCTGACAAAGGATCATACATTACACGAGGTTACAGAGATGTGAACACAAAGAGGATATAGTCCCCGTGTATGCTTTTAATGTCAGTTTTTAGCTTTTGAAAATGCATTCTCTTTATTGTACATACATAAAAAGAATGCATTTTGGGGGATATTCTTTAGAAATGCTGTGAATATTCGGTTTCATACTTGTTCGTAAAGCAACAAGTTCTCATGCTCTTCTTACTGAAAACTCTGGCTTCCAATTCCACATCTCCCAAAAGAAATACTTCTCTTCCTGTATGACAGATGAATACTTTATAATTATCCCTATGTTGTTTCTTCCCCCTTGGTATTACAGACAGACACACACAGGACTAAGAGCAGCGGATTAGTGACCAGGAAATACGAGTTCTCGCTACAGCTCTGCTCCTAAGACCCTGAATGACCAAAGGGAAGCTGAGGCCCGTCTCTAGAAACAGGACTGGGGTGGAATTGAAACATGTATTCTCTAAGATTGTTTCCAGTGCTTGCAGTCTCTGGGATTGTTCCATTTCCTTGACTTTAATATTTTTAATGGAGTTAGAGTCATTAATGAAGACATTCACATATAAAGCATGAATTTAGGACATATGCATTTTTCATGTAAACAGATGAATACAAAGTACATTCTAGAATGTAAGTTACATGAAGATTGGAAGCTTGTTGGTCTCATTCATGGCTATACCAGGAGTGAAATAAATGTTTTTACAGAATGAATACTTGTATGTAAATGGAGAGAGAAAATAAGAAAGGAAACTTTAGATCTCAAAGAAATTCTAAAGTAGGGCTCTAACTATTTGGAAGAGTAATAGCTTGAAGTAGAAAGATTTGAAGATAGATTTTTCATTTTGTTTTGTTTTGTTTCCTCAAAGTATGGGGCAGCATGCTGGAAGATTACAGGTTAGGGGAGAGTACACAGGTAGGAAATTTGTTCATTTATTCAACAAATATATAAGTAGCCTCTCGTTGTAATTGTTGTCAAACTTTCTGATCTCATGACCCCTTTATACTTTGAAAAATTATTAAAGATCCAGAAGTATTTTGTTTATGTGAGTTATTTCTGTTATGTACCACATTGGAATTGAAATGGTGAAATTTCACATTTTTAATTTACGTCATTTAAAATAATGACAATAAGCCCTTTACATGTTAACACAAATAACATTTTTTATGAAAAATATAGTTTCCAAAACAAAAAAAAAATGTTTAGTGAGATGATTAACATTGTTTCACATTTTTGCAAAGACAGTAGGATTCTCATATCTGTTTCTGCAGTCAATCTATTGCGGTCTGCCATTCGGTTGAAACATACAAAATTATGGAGAAAACCTCGCCTTAACCAGTGATGGAGTTAGTAAAGGGAAGCCCTCACAAACCCTGTGAAGGGTCTCAGGAAGTCTCAGGGGTTTTCATCCCATACTGTGAGAGCCACTGTATTTGAGAAGGATGCAACATGAGTAGAGAATTTTGTAGCCAAAGAGGGAATTTCCAGTTGAAGAAGGTATTGATGTCCTATTTAAAAAAAAAAAAGATGTTAGGAGATCCTTGATAGGTAAGAAGAAGCTTAGATTGGAGGCAGGTATGTGGCTTCCAGTAGTGAGAGGGATGAGGGGATCTGTAGCTGCAGGTTTGGAGAACGTTGCAGGGTGTGACTGTGATTCCCTTAGGAGGGTGTGATTAGAGTCTGGGAAGGTCCCACTTACTGGTGTACAAGACAGTCAACATTCATTGTTAAATCCAAAATCTCTCAAACGAAGATTGTCTTTTTTATCCCTTCCGGATGCTTTCATAAGGAGAGATAGCAAGCAAAGATGTTAAACACGTATATAAAGCATTTGTTTCACTTAGGATGCCTTGTTTCTGATTCTTTTTCCTTTGCTTTTTTTCCAGACCATCCAGACCTTTCAAGTTACCAAAAAGGTAAAGTAATCTGGGTCATCTTATTAACTAGTGACATGCTTTTTTCCTCTTAGTATTTTCTTTACATTTTGCTATTGTTTTCACCTTCCTCGTTCATATTTTTGTAAAGGAAAAATAAATTTCCCCTGACTTGGTTGCTTGAGGAATCTTGTATCTCCAAAAGTGGTTTTAATCTCAAGGTAGACTTTTAGCCTTTAAATTCTGCTTGAGTTTAATCATTTGTATTTGCCTAATTATCTGGAATTCTTTTCTGTAATGGAATGGCTTCTCAATGTCTTACTTGTTAATGAGAGAAGGACCATTTGGCCAACTACCATGACTTGAATTCATGGCAGCTTATTTCAGATGGGTTGTCTGTGTCGCTTTCTAAAAATTTTTGCTTTCATATTAAGATGGAAGGATTCTTTTTTATGGAAATTGTCAAGTTTTAGTTTTTCAGTGGAAAAGCAAAATTTTCAATGGACAAGAGTTTCTGAAAAAAAGCATGTCGCATCAGATGTCCTTGTACACTGTGTTTCCAGATACAATATTATTAAGAAACTCTTAGTGATCTTTGAAATGTATTTGCTTCTTTAGCTCAGATGCAGATAACTCTGAAGCCTACCTCAGGAGTTATCCTCTCTTTGGAGTAAAATAACTACATAAATTTTAATGAGGAAATGCCTTTTACATTAAAAAGTTATTTTTGAATATTGTGGTAAAATAGAGCATACGATTTACCATTTTAACCATTTTAAAGTGTACAATTCTGTGGCACTAAGTACATTTGCATTATTATGCAACCATTACCACCGTCCATCTCTAGAGCTTCTACCCACTTGTAAAATTGAACCTCCATACCCATTAAATAGTACCTACTCATTTCTCCCCCCCCCCCGCCCTTGGCAACCACCATTCTACTCTAACTTTATGAATTCCATTACTCTAATACCTCATATGTGTGGGATGGTACACTATGTGTCCTTTTGTGACTAGCTGATTTCACTTAGCATAACATCCTCAAGTTTCACCCATGTTGTAACATGTGTCAGAATTTTCTTCCTTTTTAAGGCTGATCGATATTCCATCGTATGCATATACTACCTTTTGTTTACCCATTTTTGCCAAAAAATTATGGAAAAATATGAAGGAAAGAGGTTATACCAGTAAATATGACATATTAAGAAAATGAATTTCCATTTTTCTAGAAACTATAGGGTCTTCTTCAATGACCAGAAGTTTTCTGTTTTGAAAGATTCATATATAGTTTTTCTGTTCATAGATTGGTATTTATTAAAGTCTTAATTTCTTCTTTTTGGTATATACACAGATAAATACTACTTCTTCCTAAAATTAGTCTTTTCTGATTTCTCTTTCCCACCTCAGCTGGAAGTAACCTCTTCCTCTGTAGAATTCACGAAACATTTTATCTGTATCCCTCCAAAAACACATCTCCGTTGACCTGGTTTTGCAGGTATTTGTGTACCTGTGTGATATTCTGAATTAGGCTCTAAGTTCCTTGGAGTATCCCATGTCTGCCATTATTTTATTCCCAGAACGCCGGCCTCCTTAGTAAGTCATACTAATTGTTGAATGAGTTTATTCCTTCAAGAAAGAGGGAGTTCTGTAATGTTTCCTTCTGTGAAGTCCTGTAGCATCAATCATTCCTCCCACTAAATTGATAGTTGATGCCGCTAGAAAAGTTTTGATAAATAACATCTTGAAATGCTTACCCTTAAAGGACAAGAGGAATAGGGAAGAGATATTAAAGGAAATAGAGAAGAAATCGAGGAAGAAGAGTTTTTTTTTGTTTTTTTTTTTTAAGGAAGAAAGCGGTAGCTAAAGTGTTAAACATTGCTCAGGTTAAGGAGGATGAAAAGCAAGCCTGGTTAGTTGATCCTGGTGGTTTCAGAAGAGCCAGGAGAGCAGAAGTCAGGCTATCAGGGGTTAAGGACTGGGTGGTTGGTCAGGAAAAGGAGGTACGCATACTCTCTGAAGCCTGGCTCTCTGTTCAGAAAGGAAGGGGAGAAAGAGGAGAGTGTTTGCAGGAAGGCTGCAAAAGGGCAAAAGGAAAAAAATCTTTGTAAGCTGAGAAAGGAAAATTTACTGTGGAGGGTCTCATTGTAATACAAATGGCCCATTTAAACGGGCCCCCATATAATGTCACTTGAGCATAAGTTAGCCCTGTGACACTTAGTTTATTTGTTTTAACAGTTATTTCTGATCTTTTTCCAGAGTAAACCCAATAATCAGGTGCTGAGAATCTATGAGTAGACTTGAGGGACTTGCCACTGGATGCTCATGAAAACTGCAGTATGGCAGGAGGCGCCCGGCCCAGACGCCAGGCAGCGTGCCCTCTGACTCAGATCCCCAAGTCACCCGCGCGCACCCTTCATTCACCCTGTGCCCTCTGTTTCTTCCTCTTGTAAAGGGAGGATGAGCCCTTCATCTCTGTGTACTGTTTGAGACTTAACCTGTTGAGAAATGATGTGCACTGTTTACAGCAGGGCCACGGATAACACCGCCAGCCCTAGCCTAAGTGGCCGGTAAGGCAGTAGGGCCTCAAAGAAAACTGTCCCCTGCTCAGTCACTGCAAAAGGACTGCCTGCTGCAACCCGGGAGTCCCAGAAGTGGGCTGCATTTACAACTATGTTGTGACGTGGTCTAAAGAGTTACAAAATTAGATTAGGCAGCTGAAAGACAAATATCACATGGTATGCAAAAGAAGATATTAGGGTCAAAGGAGTGCTCCTCTTGAAAATTTGTCTAATGCACATTCAAAGGAAAGAGGGTACAGATACTTCCTTCTGATTTACGCCATGGACTATGTCCCTGAACCCAGACTCACCCTGAGTGGAATTAGCGAAAAAATATAGTGGTCAGGTTTATAGGCCATTTTTAATTTCCTTTACTTCACCAATCTTACTGCTTTATTAGATTCTTATCTTAATATTCCAACCATTGTCTGGGTTTTTTTATTGTACGTGTGGTGCGGTGTGGGGTCTTAGCACAAATAGCCTCAACAGTTTTGTAATATTTAGGAGAAACACTTGTCCGAGTACAGTTCACTCAGACAAGTTGGGCCTTTCCCCCCGTGGTGCTTTATGTTCTCAGGACGGTGATTCCACTCCTTAAGTGCGAACAGTTGTCTCTAGGAAAGGTTGGCCTGTGAAACACCTGCTGGGTGAGGAAGTGGAATTGTAATATCGTAAGGTTAAACGTGTTTGAAGAAACGTGCTGAAATCCCTGATGCCATAAAGTTTCCATATGTAGTCAATGCACGGATACGGTATAGAGCAGTTGCTATAAAATCAAAACCAAATGTTTTCAAAGGCAAGAAAAGCAATTATTGAATGAGGTTTTTCAGGTTGCTAATGCATGTGTGCAGATTTTTCAAAAACACAAACAAAAAGTCATTATATGAGTAAATTAAACCACAGTAGGAAAACTAAGCAATTTGGGGCCCACCGCCCTCTACTGATAACATATTTGTAGGTAAAAATGCGTAACTTCTGATACATTTGAAAGAAAATTGATCCATTTAACATAAAGTATAATGAGTAATTGTATAAGCCCGGGTCCATTTTCATTTCATAGGGCTGATATTTTAAAGGTCTAAAAATGTAAAGGACTCTTTTTAAGTCTGAAGCAATGAACAGAAAGTCTCAAACGTGCTATTGACAAAGGACTTTATTGCTTCAAACCAGGTACTTTCATCTTAGTTTGCATTTGGTGGAGGCGGAAATATAGTGTAGAGACTGTAAGTGTTGGGTGTGTTCTAGAAATACGAAAGCTTCTGACCACTTGGTGTCTACATTTGAACAGCTACAATCAGCATATTGTGATTTACATGTTTTCATTACATTCAGAATTATTCTTGAAAAGTTATTCCATCTTATCAAGCATAATTTTTCCTTAATGAGTTTTTAAATCCAGAATTTGCAATCTAGTGAATAATGTTCAAACTTAAAGTCCTTTGGGTCAAGGTGATTTTGCAAAGAGGAATTAACTATTAGTGTGGCTTATGAATTTAATTTTCACATGTCAATTCTGAGAAGCATCAGTAGCAAGTTTGAGAAGCAAATTCCTGATGCCTTTTGTTTCTCTTGTGTTTGAAGCAAGAAATAATATCATCGTAGTTAAAAGGCCAGACTCTAGAACCAGACTACCTAGGTTCCTCACTTTGTGGCTTAAAAAAAAATTGAGAGGATATAACTGACATGTAACTTTATGTTAGTTTCAGATGTATAATATAATAATTTGGCATGTTGCAAAATAATCACAATAAGTCTATTTAACATTCAGCACCACACGTGGTTACAAATATTTTTTTCTTTCTTGTAATGAGAACTTGTAAGATTTACTCCCTTCGCAACTTTCAGATATATAGTCCAGTACTATTAACTATAGTCGCCGTGCTGTACATTACACATTACATCCCCAGGACTTGTTTTATTAGCCGGTCTAGCTTGTGACTTTGAACACGTTCTTTAACACGCCTGTGCCTCAGTTTCATCTCATAAAGTTGTGGTGAGAATTAAATGAGATGATCATCTATGCAAAGCATAAGAGCAACTGGAACTCCTACTGGGTGCAAGGCTATTCTTTATTTTCCCAAGGTTGCTTTTAAAGGAACAATAATGAAAAATGCCTGTGCAAGTGCTCCCTTAAAGCATAATAATGTTATATTTTAACTTCCCTATTAAAATTTAATTTGAACATCACAAAGCCAGATCTATGAAGTTGAGAGATTAGAATATAAAAATCAGTCCATTCTTAGAGACATATAGTAGCTTTTTTTTCAGAATGACGTTGTTAGCCGCCAGCTTTCTTTACACCACTGGCATGATTTTGAAGAAAAAATTCAAAATATATTATCAAGAAGCCTATTTCAAATGAGCCAGAAACAGCCATCAGAGCAGCCCAGGGAACTAACACTGTTGAGAACTTCACAGTAATTGCTGACAAGTTAAATGTTTCTTCTCAATAAAAAACTCAAGTAGCCTGAAGTTGGCAGGGTACATTTTGAATTTGAGAAAAGTTCAGTTTAGTCAACTTCTTTTGAGCACTCAGTTCGTATCGAGATCTGGAAGCGTCAAGTTAATAAGAGATGGCCCACGATCTTATGAAAGGGCCCCAGAAACAGGTCTTTCAGTGGAAGATGGTGATTGGGGGTGTGGGGAGGGTGCTGGAAGAAATAGCTTGATGGTAAGATTTGGTAACAGAGAGGAGTTTGTGAGGTGTAGTAAGAAACTAAAGCCAGTTTGATTGGAGAGTGAAGGGAGGGCAGGTTCAGGGGTGTTTGTTCATCTAATCAATCAATAGTTTCTGAACTCCTTTTAAAAGGCACTGTTCAAGGCACTGATAGTGGACTCACTCACTCACTCACTCACTCACTCACTCACTCACTCACTCAATCAAAAGTCTTTGCCTTCATGGAACTCATAGTCTAGTGGACATGGTCATTATAGTTATAGCTAAAAGGAAAGTTAATAGGTTTATGGGAAGCTTTAGGTTTGCTTTGGTTATTCTTAAAGTTTCTTCTCTTTGAAACTGTTTATGGGCTAAGTTCTTTTGCAAGAACTAATGGAATAAAAGTATGGAGGAAGGGAATAACTGGAGAAACAAAAGTCCTGGAAGAGAGTCCAAGGAGGATGGATCTTCTGTTAAAATATATTTCTTTCCATTTAGGAAGTAGAGATTTAAGATCTTCTTTTTCCCAGGTGCAGATGTAGCAATAAAATGTTATTTGTCAGAAATAAAGCTGTGGTATACATATACAATGGAATACTACTCGGCCATAAAAAAGAATAAAATAATGCCATTTGCAACAACATGGATTATCCTGGAGATTGTCATTCTAAGTGAAGTAAGACAGAAAGATAAAGAAAAATACCAGATGATATCACTTATACATGAAATCTAAAAGAAAAGACACAAACTTATTTACAAAACACGAACAGACTCACAGACATAGAAGACAAACTTATGGTTACCAGGGAGGAAAGGGGGTGGGAAGGGATAAATTGGGAGTTTAAGATTTGCAGATACTAACTATTGTATATAAAATAAACAACAAGGTTCTACTCTATAGCACAGGGAACTATATTCAATATCTTGTAGTAACCTATAATGAAAAAGAATATGAAAAGGAATATATGTATGTATATGGATGACTGAAACATTATGCTATACACCAGAAATTAATACAACATTGTAAACTGACTATACTTCAATTTAAAAAATGGGGAAAAAAAGAAATGGACCTTATTCTGAGTCTGAATGGCCTGTAACAATGACCACTGCCGCTTTATCACAAAAATGAAAGGAGAGTGATCTTCTAATTTTCTACTACAATTACATATACATATTTATAATCTTATTAGGTCTTTTATTGATAAATCCCTGTACTAGGTCTGAAATATGAGGATACAACAAATTGCTCTCTTAGGTAGCAAAAAACTTTGCTCCGCTTCTAAGAAGCTTTCTGTGTGACTTCTCCCTGCCTTTGCAGTTACGCGGCCCTGATAGCAGACTGGCCCGTGGTCGTCTTGGGCATGTGCACTGTGTTCATCGTGGTCTGTGCCTTGGTTGGCGTATTAGTGCCAGAGCTTCCTGACTTCTCTGACCCATTGCTGGTAAGGAGAATTGAGCCAGTGGAATTTGTTTATCTATTTTCTCTAGTCCAGGATCATCTCAAAAGATGAAGCATTTTAATACATGCTGCACTGTGTTGTTTAGTATCCCATTTTTTTAAAACTTTCTCAAGTCATCAGTAAGTAAACAGCTCTCTGTCAGGAAGTTGAAGACATAGCAGTGCTCTCAGGTTCACAAAAAGGATCAAGGAACGTGCTCACCATCAAAAATCTGGAAATTTGCTTCTTGGTCTCCATGTTTAAACTAAAAAACAGTAATTTGGAGAATCCGTATACTGTAAAAACATTTTCATAGAATCTTTAAGACTGAATGTCACTTCTTGCCCCAAAGAACTGTAAGGAATTTTAGTATAACCAAGAAATAGCAGGGTCTGTTTTTAAGTAAATGTCTCTCTGGGGTGGAATAGTGAGGAAAATGTGAGCAAAGATAATGGTAAACTCTTTGTAAAATGCCACTACATGCAAAACAATTTAATTTGACCATGATTTTTTTAGAACATAAAAATAAGTATTTATTAAATGCTTAGGTATGAATTTGAAAAAGAAGCTTCAAATGAGTTTGTTTATTTTTTCCTCTTTCCTGAGACATGCAAGCTACCAAAGAATCAGATCGTTTTGTCACAGTAAATAGGTGATCATTTTTAGGTCAAGTCATCTGCTTTAATGCAGTTCACCTCTGGAGTCGCTGAGAGGAACGTGTATATTTTCTGTTGAAAACTATACATCACCTTGACGTTGCTTTGCCAAGCTGTTGTGACTGTACTTGGCCTGAAATGAAGTACACTAATGGGAATTTGTAATATTTTGCCTTAGGGTTTTGAACCAAGAGGGACTGCAATAGGCCAGAGGCTGGTCACATGGAATAACATGGTGAAAAATACAGGATACAAAGCAACATTAGCAAATTACCCCTTTAAATATGCAGATGAACAAGCCAAAAGGTAATCATTTATTAACTTTGAGACAAAATGCAGCTAATGAATTCCACTTTTGAACATTGCCTGAGCAAACAGATTAAATCGGAAGTGTGTGGGCTCGAAATCTTGGCCACCAAATTTGTTGCAACTGTCATTGTCTTTAAAGATTTTGTTGTGTGAGGACGAAAAAGTGAGGGTTTAGGGTTTCGTTTTCCCTCTTTCAGAAGTGAGAGGATTTATGTTGGTTGCTTATGTTAATCCTTCCAAGTTAATATCATGTGCTAAATAGGCCATGACTTTGAGGATGTACTGTTACCGGGAGGCTTGTCAGCCTTGAAATGGTGAGGGCTTTATTGAAGATCAAACTGTTGTTCCCTTTCAGCCATCGGGATGATAGATGGTCAGACGATCATTATGAAAGAGAGAAAAGAGAAGTGGACTGGAACTTCCACAAAGACAGCTTTTTCTGCGACGTTCCGAGTGAGTGACATTGTGGGTGACAAACCTCTCACCGTTCCCTGGCACTTGGGACTGAACATGATTAATAGTCTAGACCGCCAGGAGTGTGTGGCTGGTCCCACAGCCTCATTCTTTTCTGCCGTGCTTCAAGAGATTTTAGCTTAATTAACTTGTAATTTTACTTCTCTAGGTCAGTCAGCCACTAATCTGAATTTCTTTACCTAGAATTAAAAATTAGTAAGAAAGAGATGATTGAATTATATTCGGTTTTAAGAACGCTATAAATCTAATACAAATTCTTGACACTGCCCAGAATCTCAAGTCATTTGAAAAATTCCTTGTATGTATTTTTGGATTGAACCCTGAAATAATCTACTGTATTAATTTTTAAATTTCTAATTCATTCAAAAAGCATATATTAATAGCCTTCTTGTGCCCACCTCATCACTAAGCACTAGAGGGAGAGAGATGAACAAAATAAAGCCCGAGGTCCAAAGCTGGAAGGCCTCAGGGACCTAGCTCATGGATGAATGAGAAACGCTAGCTGGGCGTCAGACAGCAGGAGGTGACGGTGCAGCAGAATATGGCCTTGAAAAAACAAAGGCCCGATACTGTCAGGAATCCAGATTTCAATGTGGAATCACTAGATCTCGAAATGTTGGCAGCAAATTCACCGAACAAAATCTGCTGTGGCCTGGCGTCACCCTAGTCCAGTCCCTCTGCGCTGCTGGGGAAGGAAGGGGTAATCGGTCTCTAGGAACCCTGTTTAAGTCTGTAAGTCATTGATTAGCCCTCATGATTATGAATGAGGAATTGTGGATAACTCCAATTTCTGATTAAATGAATATTAACATTGACGCTCTTTGGGTTTCAGCTTTTTGTTATTGTTGAAAGTCCTTCTAAAACGTATATTTTCCTATCTCCATAGATCATTGGGGGGACCTGATTGGGTCTTTGATGTTTCTAGATCTTGTCAAACCACAGGGTCTTTATTTTGAACACTGTTTCACTATATAGTAATAGAAAGTAGGAGATTAGAAAGAATGTTTAACTGATCCCAGAAAGCAATGCAAGTTTCTTCTTCTGTCTCTTCTCTTAAAACATATATTAGATATAAAACAATTAAACAATAAGGACCTGCTGTATAGCATGGGGGACTATATTTAATTTCTGGTAATGGGAGAAATGGAAAACAATCTGAAAAAAAATATTTATAAATACAAGTATATATATAACTGAATCGCTTTGCTGTACACATGAAACTAACATTGTAAATCAACTACACTTCAATAAAAACAAGAATTAATTTTAAAAGACATATTAGAAAAGTTGAACACTGGTTAGTTGCACAATTTTGACTAGTTTATTTCTCTCAAAGTGTTACCATATACTGCTTAACCAACATCTGTCAGTTAATATCTTAACTGGGAAGAACATTAGCACATTCATGAATACATTGTATACATTTTAGTAGTCAATGCTAAGTATTTGTCCCATGAGTAGTAGGTTCTACCTTGGCTAAAGCCATCACTGGCTCTTTAAGAATGAAATGTGCCAGTTGCCACAAGGCTTGTTTTGGTCTTCAGAATCAATCAACATATGTTAAAAACCATTGGATGAAGGCAAGAGTTTACTAAAGAAAACTTCATGGTCATGAATAAAAGCTCATGTAATAAAACTGTATTCATAAATTTGCAAACTGATTTTCTTTGTCAGCACAATTAGGCATTTTAGATCATAGAAAACTAACCTGCTTTGTTTCAGTTGGTTCATATTGATTTTTTTTAATGGCTGAGGAAGCAGAAATACTACTCATTGAGCACCTATTTATCAAGATCTCATTAAAGTCTCACACCTATTTGAGAAGGTGCTGCTGTCTTTATTTTACGGATGAGGAACTGTTGCTCTGGGAAGTTGGTAGTTGCCTACGATCACCCAGGTAGTAAATGACAGAAGCAGGTTACACCCAGTTCTAACTCCAAAGACCATGCTCTTTCTAGTATATCACACAACCTCCCTATTCAGAAATATATTTGGTATTAGTGTGATCTCCAAAATTTTTTTCTGGAACTCTGAACATGCAGTCAGAATGTGGACTGTGTCTGTAATCCTGGCCAGCATTCTGTACTTAGTTGACAGTTTTTAGTGCTTTGAAATTGATCACCTGCCATCTTTGCTCTCTAGTTAGCTGCCAAAGAGAACATCCTTATAATCCATTCTTGATATTCCCCAGGGCATCATCCTTCGACGTTATATTCCATCATGGTGATGCGTTGTGAAACGAAGAGGGAGGCATTCAGTTAATTTTCTGCTGAATGTTCCTACGGATTATTCTTCCTAATTACAGTCTGATCAGAACTAGATTTGTTACATAACTCCTATGAATTGTAAGATATAGTGACTAGACAAAGGCTTTGAGCTAAAGCAATATTATAAAGTTACTTTCCTTTCTTTTTTTTTTTAACATTTTCTCCAGGAATTTGTTGAAGGACAGGATTGCCTACTGCTAATGAATTGCCTATGTGGTTTCCCAGTTTGAATTGTCTCTGAATGCTGAGTCTTATGAAATAAATGAATAATTGACAACCCTTTTTCTTTTCTTTTCTCCTATCACCAGGTGACCGATATTCCAGGGTAGTATTTGCTTCAGCTGGAGGGGAGACACTGTGGAATTTACCTGCAATTAAATCAATGTGCAATGTAGATAATTCAAGGGTATGTAAAGTAAAACTGAAATATATTTAGTACAAGTAAGGTTATACTTTAAAAATTCCTTTTACTGCCGACCCTGGTGCCTAAGTAGTTGAAGGCACTTAAGTGGCTTACCTACTGAGGAGTAAACACCAGCAGGCTGGCTTTGCATTCTTTCCGATCCCAGGATCAAAGTGTCTCTGTTTCCCCACTTTTAAAACCTACTATCTTCCTTAATAAAGAACTCTTTTTTCCTTTCCCACTGTGTTCTTTGTACATGATAGTCTTCAGTATTATTTCACAGCTTACTTCCTTTCAGGTAATTGTTAAGCCTTTTCTTCTTTGTTTGCTATATTTCCTCTTTACTAATCTAGCTTCATTGTTCACTCCATTTACCCCCAAGGCAGTTGTCAGCATCTTAATTGCACAGTGAAATGCTCACCTTTCTGGCAATCAGTGGGTCTTTGGGGCTGGTGATGTCAAAGGGGAATTTAGGGCACAGGCTAGGAAAGGAGATGCCAAAGGACAAATGCATCATCTGTGGAAGTGGCCAGGGTTCCAATCCAGACTGGTCTGCACTCTAAACACCGTGCTGCTTTGTAAGACAGAAGGATGCGAGGAGACAAGCACTTCCTCTAGGACCAAAAGATGTCAGTCCCAGAAAACGGAAAGTCACCTGTTGAGCTTGGAAAAGCTGTCAATTTCACATGTTCAGAGGTAGTTTATCCAAGTAGAAACTGCTGCCTGATGTCACTAATGCACTTGTCCAAGCACAGTAACCAGGCAGAAAAGGAGCTCATGGTGTTCTTAGCATAATTCTAGAACGTCAAGTCACTGATCGGTCGATAATCTGATCACATGCCCTGCTAAGAGCTAGCCTGACAACCCAGTGCAGTCACCTGTCCAATCAACAGGGTTTCTCGATGGAATAGGAGGTAGAAAGGACTCTCTGAGATCACCTACAGACTGGCACTCTCACTGTGCTGACAGAAGTACCCAGGTCACTTAGTTAGTTAGTCCCAGATCGCCTGGCTTTTTTCTTCATTCTGAGAGCCTGCTTATATGTTCTGAAAATAACTGTCCATTTGTTAGGATATCGGGATTTTCTGTGCGTGCCATCTTGTCTCTGTGCAACTCCAAATAGACCAAAGTCACAAATCATCTATAAACAGCCCAAAGTTTCTCAACCAGTGGTCCTACTTCCTTCTGTTCTACAACTATCAGCATGTTATTTGGAAACTGTGAACATACTTCTCTTGTTGTGGGTTACAGCCCTTCTCATACAGAAAGTTAACTCTAAAGGGCTCTAAAGTAGTATGCATGCAGAGTACCTGCTCTGTGCAGGACTTTACGCTGCATCCTTTACATCCCTCACGATGGACCTGGGACCCTGGAATAACACCTTTTGGCGGCTGAGAAGTTTAGCTTAGAGAAGTCAGTCGGGTTACTTGATAATCACGCCTTGGATGAGAACAGTTCACTAACTTCTATACCTCATTGTCCTCATTCTGCCCTTGCAGTTGGTCTTTAGATCTTCCCTCCCTTGAAGACTCTGAAGTGATTGAATTCACTCAGCTGATTAATAGCTGATGTTTACTAAGTGTTGTTGATATTTGTCAGAAAGTGTTCAGAACACTTTAATGAATTGTTTCATGTAATCCTCATGGCAGCATTACGAATGAAACACTGTTGTTTTGCCTATTTTATAGATGAGGAAGGTTCACACTGGGGGTAAGTGGCAGATGTAGGATTTGAAGGCAGCCAAGTCTAGTTCCAGGGTCGTGCCTCTCCTCACCATTCTTCATGCTTCCATCACACATATCACTGCCCCCGAGTTTTGTTTTGTCTTGTACTGTATGTGCCGTTTCTCACGCAAACGTACCTCAAAGAATCATCATGGCCTCGAATAGGTACTTTTTTAAAAAAGAGCTAGCAAGGCTGGAGAGTAGAGCTCAGTGGTAGAGTTCATGCCTAGCATGCATGAGGTCCTGGGTTCAATCCCCAGTACCTCCATTAAAATAAATTAATTAATTAATAAGCCTAATTACCTCCCACCTCGAAAATTAAAAAAAAATTTTAAAGAGCTAGCAATTTATTCTGTAAGTACATGTTAGATCTTAATGGACTCAAAGACTCAAAAGCCAGTAAGCAGTACTATACCATTACAGTTTTTATAAGTGAACACTGTGTATATATATATTTCAGATGGTAAAAGTCAGCATCAGTACCCCACATTTCCAAATATTTGAGTGGTGGTGAGTGGCAAACTTGTCTCCAACCTCCCTGGCAGCCAGAGCAAAAAGGAATTCATAATCAGAGACAAAAGTCATATAAATAGGGTAACAAATTTGATTTTTAGAAGAAGCCCGCCTTTCCCTCATACTAAGGCAGGAAATGACCATTCCCCTTAGGCTTCGTAAAGGACGTGTGATGTGAAGAAAGTTCTTAACAGCAGGTTTACAAGAAGTACAGTACTGAATCTTAGCTGATCTGTAAACCATATCTCAGGTTGGTTGGTAGCAGGAAAACATTATAGAAGCATTTCTACACGGGATAAAGCAATGAAATCTAAATACGTGGTTTCTGATGGTTCAGTTTGATGCATTTGCAAAGTTTAGACTGTCTAGAGGAATAGATGTACTGTGCTTGTCTGAGTTTTTTTTTTTCTCTACTGGGCTCATAATAAGGATTGGAGAGCTATGAGTTCAAGTCTGTAATCCCTGACCACAACTCAATGATTTGTGATCCTCTCGTGAAAATTTGAGGAACAGACCCACACGTCTGAATGAACTGGCAAGCCAATTATAGATCCATGCCAATAAATGAATAAACTGAATTCAGGGCCCCAGAATTCTACCTCAAGGAACAGAGTTGTAATTTTAACTTTTTAAATTACTATTGTTGTGGGGGAAGGGTATAGCTCAGTGGTAGAGCACATGCTTAGCATGCAGGAGGCCCTGGGTTCAAGCCCCCAGTACCTTCATAGAAAATAAATAAACTTAATTATCCTCCCCAAAAATAAATACTTGTTTTGTCAATTGCAAATGCCCTTATATTCTAGTTCAAACTCTGCTGTGAACCCAAAATAATATGTTTCTCATTGAGATAATGTATTCAGTGATATCTTAAATAATAACTACTGGTTAACAGTTCAGATTTCAGATTATGACTGTACCTTTTTAAGTCTCCCAGCTCTGGAGCCTTTTAGGATTTTTATTTGTTATGGTGGTTTGAGTAAACTCTGTCCTGAGGCCACTTGGCAATCCCCCCACCCTCTAAATCCTAGCTGTTGACCTAAGCACTTGATTATTAACAACTATCAATTTGAATGGGACACACACCAAATGATACAGAGCAGAAGAGCTTAATTGTTGGTGGGTTGACTCCAGAAAACGTCTGGTTATCAGTGTAATATCGCAGTGAGACCAGATGTTTCAATTGTCGCCTGTCTTGTGTTTATAGCACATTGAGTTCAGACTCCCGATCTCATTTAAATTACATGCCGCTTAGAGTTCAGACAGGCATTGGCTTCCAAAGTGAAGAGCTTCTGTTTCTGATGCTGCTGTCTACCTCCCCACAGAAATGCTTGTTTTCTTAGACTCTTTCAAAAGGAGCCTCCGTCGACTCCCTTGATCTTCTTCATAACTTTTTCCTGCACTTTGGTTCCTACTGGGCGCACTGGCAGATAGTCGTTAGTAACAAGAAGTGTGTTTCTCTAATCTTGCCTCTGCTGGAAACCATTTGCCCTGTTTCTTAGCCTTTGCGTGTTGCAGCAGTTGGAGCTCAGACGAGTCATCTTAAAGGAGGTAGTTGAAATTCGGTACCTAAGACCCGTTTTACTAGGGTAGCTTTTATGGACCAGCTGGAGCCTCCCTATAGCTTAGAGGACTCCAGAAATGTGTTTTCTAATGTTGTTTTAAAGAGGACTGTGGAGCTCTTGCTGTTTGCCTTTTTCTTTCCTCTCTCGGCTGCCTTCAGCTCCATACAGGAGGAACTCGGTCACGTGGGGAAGGAGAGTCCAGCAGTTGACTGAACCTGGTATTAAGCGCTGAATTTTTTCCCCTTTTCTCCTATTTCGGCCTCTTAACATATCTTCAACTTGGCCAATACTTTTACAAGTTTAAGATATCATTTAAAACTCTGCTGGTTTCCTCTTTTTTCTCCTCTTCCTTTACTCCCATTTTAAGCCAACCCCACCCCAGCTAACTAGGGAAGTGCGCAAAGACATGTTATAAGCACACGAGCAAAAATGGTTCCCTAAAACACCCCTCTGTGAATACCTAGAATGAAAAAGGCTGTTTTCCTCAGGAGAGTCAGACGAAATTGCTCTCACTAATGCCATTCTTATTTTTATAAACTTCAGAGATTTCTAAATCATTCCTATGAATCCCTTTGCCAAAACCATGGCAAAAATATAGCTGCCTTCTGCGTGAAGATATATATATATACCTGCTTGCCAAGCTCTTTAAGCCCCACAGTATAATCTATGACTCTGTATTTAAACTGTCTCAGTCACAAACGGCTGTTAGGGCCGCTGTCCCATCGCACTGACAGACTTCGGCGGTCTCCACAGGTTCACGTAGACCCTTACCTGTAATGTGCTATGTTTCATGCTGAATTGTAATGATTGGTTTTCTTGTCTGATTCCCTGCTTCACTGTGATCATCTTGAGGGCAGAACCACTTTTCCTTATTCGTCTTGCATAGGTGCTCAATAAATATTTTTTCCTTTTGGCTGGCTGGCTGGCTGAGTGGGGACACGTGGCTTTACCCCCGAAAGCCTAGATAGTCCTTGAGCTCCATTCCTGTAGGTTCAGGGAACTGGCATCCAGCTCAGGGTAAATGGCTCTTCTCTGTCCTTATGTCTTACCCTGTAAGAGACTCCTCAAAAACTGTTTTCCAAAGGTTGTACATCAGTCAGTATCACCTTTGAATTTGAGGACTAGCCCCCTCCCCCCCGCCCCAAGGCCTATTCACATTTATTTTTGATAGCATCCATCAAAGTTGTATTTGGTCTATGTTTATCATGGCCAGCTTTTTAATCTTTGGTCAGATACACACATTAAAAAAACCCTGCAATTATTGGAAAAGGTTATTCAAGGACAGAATTCTGTGCCTTTCCCAGTTTTAGCTGGCAACCCTGTTTGCTTTATCTTCGGCAATTGGTTATTTCAGTAAGTACAGATACGTTGCCTCTAGCTGATAGTGGGTTTTGTAATGGATACAGTTCATTTTCTTCCATCTGAAAACTCTCAGACGCTGCAGTTTCATTACCTTTCTTTCATATCCCTAGGCTGACCCCAGGGACTCGCCTGTTATTTCTTTGTGGAGTAAAACTGGTTATCTGAGAGATGCTATTCTCGGGTTTCATGTTATTTATTAGGTGGTTCAGTTTCCCCTGAGTTAACATATGCGAATGTTTTCACCTAGAAACAATTACATATTACTTATCCTATTCTTAAAGTCAAATAATTATCACTCTTTAAAAATGAGCTTAAAAATTAAGCCTTTGTTAAAATGAACATTATTTCAGCACACTTGTATAACAACCCATTTGACTCATTCTTCTTTACCCCAAATAGAGTATCTCTTTTTTAAAAAAAAGTTAACTTGTTATTATGGAAATTTTCAAGCAGATGCAAAAGTTGAAGAGTAGAACGAAATCTTCTGTACAGGTCACCCAACTTTAGCAATTCCCAGTAGCTGGCCAATCACATATACAGGTCACCACCGCAGGGTTAGTTCCAGGAAAGTATCCTTATAGCCAGGGCTTGTTTAGTTTCAGGTAACGTGGTTCATGAGAAAATATTTCAATGCATGGTTGATCAAGCCTACTTAAATAAAAAGGTGGTTTTAATCTTAATAGAAAAAAAAATCCTCACGCCCTTCTTGAACTTTGGAGTTTTTACCCTGGAACAACCTTTTTTAAATAGAGATAAGGGAATGTGATAGGAGTGGTCGTTCTTAGCCCTGGCACTTCCAGAGAGGTCTCTGGACAGGCTCAACAGCGAGGGAATATTTCTTCTTCTCATCCTCAGGGAAGAAGGGCCATTCACATAATTTATAGGTTTTTAAGGCAATGGAATTGTGCCGGCTTCATTCTAATCTTAGCAATGCCAGATTTGGCACTGGAACGCTTTTTCAATTTTCTATGACAAGAACAGCCATAAGAAGAAAAGCTTTCTCCGGGAATAGTGTTCTAAGTGAAATACTGTCCACATTAAATCCAGAATTGTTATACTTGCTAATGTGCAGCAGACCCTGTTAACCAGAAGAGAAAGCTCCCCAAAAGGGAATTTAGTCTACTTGAATAAACTTTGAAGGATGTGGAAGAAATAATTAAATTCCTACTTAGGAACTGTATATGTGTATTTAAAATCATATATATACTTTAAATTTAGAAACATTTCCCTTTTCTACTCATACATCAGGACACAATTTTATTCCAGGTTTTCCATGCATCTTTGACATCATTTCTTTTGATACCACAAGAATCACTTTTTTTTATAGTTAAATATACAGTATTTATTGATATAAATATATAGGATTAAGTTAAGTAGGTATAGAGAACAATATTTTGAAATGTCAAAAATCTGTAAAAACGAGATTTACTAGTTCTGTAGGCACTATAGTCCCTGCTCCATAACTTTCAACTAAAGAAAGTTACATCCATGAATATCCAAGATGGTTAAAAAACTGGTTTCAAATTTTTCCTGTGGTTGGTTGGGGCCCTTCCTGCCTTCACGACATCTTGAACTTACTTTTGATTAAACAACCCTAAACTAAAGTGCACACAGAGTAATACCAATAAGTCTTTACCTAATTAAAAATATCTCCCAATTTTTATCTAGATTTTGTTACGTGATAGCACCTTAAAAAATATGGTTAATTTATCGTATTATGTTAGTTTCAGATGTACAGCACAGTGACAGAATCACTTTTTGATTCACTGCTAGTTTTCTAGAGAATATCATCTTTGCCTCCAACTAAGTTGATTGAAATACAGTACCTTTGTCACCAAGAATTTCATGCTGATTACCAGAAAGTTTAGGCAAAGCCACAAATGTGTTTCCTATATCAGTTGGACAGTTGTTCTCTTAATTAATCCCGTAAGTGTATATACATGAGCTTCACAGCCTGTCCATTGTGTTGCTTTTTAAACTGTCTTTGAACAGGCGTGTTTACTAAAGAGGTGTTAATTTTGTCTCCTTTTTGAAACTAAGCTGGCATTGACTGAAACTGTTTCACACTTGTGTGTCATCCCCAAACAGTGGTTTGTTGTTCAAAATGCACCCTCTGCAACATTAAGAGAGCTTTGGTGGGGGACTCTAACCTTGTATTCAAACTGACACCAAATTCAGAGGATGCTGATTTAGCTTCTGTGACTTTCCCATCCCTCAAGGCCACCGTAATTCAGACCTTTCAGTGAACTGATTTTAAACGGCAGTCCTTCCCGCGTGTCTCTGTCTCTGCAGATCAGAGCGCACCCCCAGTTCGGCGATCTCTGCCAGAGGACCACGGCTGCTTCCTGCTGCCCCAGCTGGACGCTGGGCAACTACATCGCGATTCTCAACAACAGGTCCTCCTGTCAGAAAATCGTCGAGCGAGACGTTTCTCACACCTTGAAGCTACTTCGGACCTGCGCCAAACACTACCAGAACGGCACCCTGGAGCCGGACTGCTGGGACATGGCGGCCCGGAGGAAGGACCAGCTCAAGTGCACGAACGTGCCGCGAAAGTGCACCAAGTACAACGCCGTGTACCAGATCCTCCACTACCTGGTGGACAAAGACTTCATGGCCCCAAAGACCGCGGACTACGCCACGCCCTCCTTGAAGTACAGCATGCTCTTCTCGCCCACGGAGAAAGGGGAGAGCATGATGAACATTTACCTGGACAACTTCGAAAACTGGAACTCCTCTGACGGCGTCACCACCGTCACGGGGATTGAGTTCGGCATCAAGCACAGTCTGTTTCAGGATTATCTTCTGATGGATACCGTGTATCCCGCCATCGCCATCGTGATCGTGCTTTCAGTCATGTGTGTCTACACCAAGTCCATGTTTATCACCCTGATGACTATGTTTGCAATCATCAGTTCCCTGATTGTCTCCTATTTTCTCTACCGCGTGGTCTTCAACTTTGAATTTTTCCCTTTTATGAACCTCACCGCACTCATCATTTTGGTTGGAATTGGAGCGGATGACGCCTTTGTCCTGTGTGATGTGTGGAACTACACCAAGTTTGACAAGCCTCACGCCGAAACCTCGGAGACGGTGAGCATCACTCTGCAACACGCCGCCCTCTCCATGTTCGTCACCAGCTTCACCACCGCGGCTGCCTTTTATGCCAACTACGTGAGCAATATTACGGCAATCAGATGCTTTGGGGTTTACGCGGGGACCGCTATCTTGGTGAACTACGTTTTGATGGTCACGTGGCTCCCGGCGGTGGTCGTTCTGCACGAGCGGTATCTTCTCAATCTATTCAGTTGCTTCAAGAGGCCCCAGCCGCAGATATACGATAACAAAAGCTGCTGGACGGTGGCCTGTCAGAAGTGCCACAAAGTCCTGTTTGCCGTCTCAGAAGCATCTCGGATTTTTTTTGAAAAAGTACTGCCGTGCATCGTCATTAAGTTTCGCTACCTTTGGCTGTTCTGGTTCCTTGCCTTGACGGTGGGCGGGGCCTACATCGTGTGCATCAACCCGAAGATGAAGCTGCCCTCCTTGGAGCTGTCCGAGTTCCAGGTGTTCAGGGCGTCCCACCCTTTCGAACGTTACGACGCTGAGTACAAGAAGCTCTTCATGTTCGAGCGCGTGCACCACGGAGAGGAGCTCCACATGCCCATCACCGTCATCTGGGGCGTGTCCCCGGAAGACAACGGCAACCCGCTCAACCCTAAGAGCAAGGGGAAGCTGACGTTAGACAGCAGCTTTAACATTGCCAGCCCGGCTTCCCAGGTCTGGATTTTGCACTTTTGTCAAAAACTGAGAAATCAGACGTTCTTTTACCAGACGGACGACCAGGACTTCACAAGCTGCTTCATTGAGACATTCAAGCAGTGGATGGAAAACCAGGACTGTGATGAGCCCGCCCTGTACCCGTGCTGCAGCCACTGGAGCTTCCCCTATAAGCAAGAGGTGTTCGAACTGTGCATCAAGAGAGCCATCATGGAGCTGGAAAGGAGCACGGGGTACCATTTAGACAGCAAAACCCCAGGGCCGAGGTTTGACATCAATGATACCATCAGGGCAGTCGTGCTCGAGTTCCAGAGTACCTACCTCTTCACGCTGGCTTATGAAAAGATGCATCAGTTTTATAAAGAGGTGGACTCGTGGATTTCCAGTGAGCTGAGTTCTGCACCCGAGGGCCTCAGCAACGGCTGGTTTGTCAGCAATCTGGAGTTCTATGACCTCCAGGACAGCCTCTCCGACGGCACCCTCATCGCCATGGGGCTCTCCGTGGCTGTGGCCTTTAGTGTGATGCTGCTTACCACATGGAACATCATCATAAGCCTCTACGCCATCATTTCCATCGCTGGAACTATATTTGTCACCGTGGGTTCTCTGGTCCTGCTGGGCTGGGAGCTAAATGTTTTGGAATCGGTCACCATTTCGGTTGCAGTTGGCCTGTCTGTGGACTTTGCTGTCCATTACGGGGTTGCCTACCGCTTGGCCCCGGATGCTGACCGAGAAGGAAAGGTGATCTTCTCTCTGAGTCGCATGGGCTCGGCCATCGCCATGGCCGCTCTGACCACCTTCGTGGCTGGGGCCATGATGATGCCCTCCACGGTCCTGGCCTACACCCAGCTGGGCACCTTCCTGATGCTCATCATGTGCATCAGCTGGGCGTTCGCCACCTTCTTCTTCCAGTGCATGTGTCGGTGCCTTGGGCCGCAGGGTACCTGTGGTCAGATTCCTTTACCTAAAAAACTCCAGTGCAGTGCCTTCTCCCATGCCTTGTCCCCGAGTCCTGGTGACAAGGGACAAAGCAAGACACATACTATGAACGCTTACCATTTAGATCCCAGGAGCCAGAAATCTGAAATGGAGCACGAGTTTTATGAATTAGAACCCCTGGCGTCCCACAGCTGCCCGGCCTCTGAGAAGACCACTTACGAAGAGACCCACATCTGCTCAGAGTTTTTCAACAGCCAGGCCAAGAATTTAGGGATGTCAGTACACACAGCTTACAACAGCGAGCTCAACCAAAGCACCAAAACTGAAGCTGGCACTGCCTTGTTACAGCCCTCTCTCGAGCAGCACACCGTGTGTCACTTCTTTCTGAATCAGCGATGTAGCTGCCCAGACGCCTACAGACATTTGAAATATGGCCCACGCTCTTGCCAGCAGGTGGCTGACTGCTTGTGCCACCAGTGTGCTCCGACTGCGAGCGGTTTTGTGCATGTCCAGAATGGCCTGGCACCTCTGAAGGCTGCACAGCCAGCCCCCGAGGGCCTCATGCATCCCATCCCACACATCCACCACTGTCCCTGCCTACAGGGCAGAGTGAAACCGCCGGGAGTGCAGAATTCTCTGCCTAGGGGTTTCTTCCTCCACCCAGTGCAGCACATTCAAGCCCAGGAGAAAATGGGGAAGACCAGCGTCCACAGCCTTCAGAGCATAGAGGAGCATCTTCCAAAGGTGGCAGAGCCATCGTTTGTCTGCAAAAGCGCTGGAGCTTTACAGAAAGCATGCTGTGATCCTGAGACTCACCCAAGGGGACTTGGTAAAAGTAGAGACATCGGAAACATGGAGGGCAGCGGAGGGGCTGCAAACAAGGACTCGGGTTCAGTGAATCAGACCAACAAAGCAGAAAGGCAAGCGGAGCCGGGCTTGTCACAGACTGATGTCATTGTGAACTCAGAACATTTAAATCAGAGTGAACCAAAATTTATATTTAACCATTTAATGGGGGAGGCTGGTTTTAGGCCCTGCCCAAACAATCCACAAAGTTGTGGCAGAATTGTGAGAGTTAAGTGCAATTCTGTGGACTGTCAGATACCAAACATTGAAGCCAATGTGCCTGCTGTATTAACACACTCGGAACTTTCTGGTGAAAGTTTGTTAATAAAAACACTTTAATAAATATAGTATTAAATCAGTGCCTCAATTGTTCCTTTGAAATGGAAGTAAAATCCAAAAGTTTAAGAAAGGGAACCCCAAAATACAGGAACACTTTGTTTAAAACCATGAAATATTTTTAGATTCCATGTGAACAATCAACAACTCGAGTTTCTAATGAGTGTTGGCTTTCTTTTTTAAATACCCCACCCCGCCATTTTGAATTTTATATTTTCAAAAAGTATAGTTGCTTTTTTCACATTTATACCCAGCTTAAAAAGTTACTGTTTTTTCTCTCTCTCTAACCCTCCCATAGCAGAGAGTCAGAGATTTAGAGTTTGAATTACCTGGGAGTTTCATTTCTCCCTGGCATTTATAGTTATCTGATACCCTTATTCTGGAGCATTTAGTTGTCAGTAATTAGGACTTTGGATTGTTCAAAATAAATACTGGTTCTAAGAGAGCTACACAACATTAAAATGTATATTTTTGGTGAGGCCTCATTCAAAACTTAATTACCAAGCATTTAAATAGTGCATTCCACCTGTCTGCATAGGTAGACTTTACTTGAAACCAATGACACATTTATATCCAAATTTGTCTTTTTCTGCATTAGCTAAAACATACAGTTGTTCTATTATTATAGCTCCTAAGCCAGGAGTCACGGGCATCATCTTGTGTCAGGTGACAGTTATGTCAGTGCCACAGAAAGAAGAGCAGAGATGAAGAGAGGTGATCACCTGAAAAAGTGCTACACTTCTTAAGATAAGTTGCCCGATGACCAAGATAGCCCCAGGTCAGATGAACCTCAGCCCCTTGAAGCTTTCAGAGAAGACGAACTTGTTCTATGAAGTTTTGTTTCCATCTCTGACCCTCAGGGGACATGTTCAGACAGCTGCCTTCTCCTGTGTTAAGCAGCGTCTCAAGACGCGCAGGGATGATTTTATTGTGCAACTAACACCTGGAAACGCAGAGCCTTCGGGCAGCATCTTAAATGACACTCGTGTATCTTATGTTAGATCAAGCTACAGTCATCGAGCTGTTGGAGCTCGCTCTCTGGGTAATTCCTCACATGACACAGCCTCTTTGCGGGGTGTCATCTGAAACTGTGTGCATTCCTGCCCCGTTCAGGGAGAGTTCCACTGCCTTCTGCTTCCTTCTGGGCTCTGCCTCCAGTTTGGTCCTCTGGAGAAAACTGGCCGGAAGATTTCTAAATACAATGTTCTTTCCAGAAGTTATATTATTTTCTAAGAATAGTTTTCCAAATTAGAGCCGCATATTATTCAGGACCTGAAAAGAGCTATCAAGAGTTGGAAGGGGTTACATTCACTGACTCCAGCCCACCTCCACCAAACCACGTTTCTGTTAAGTCGCTCTCCAGCCTTTGCTTGAATTCTTCAGTGACAGGAAACTTACTATATGCCTACCTTGGCTGAACCCAGATCTTTTGTCCTGTACTTTTCGTCTTGTTTGATCCTCATTCTGTTCTCTGAAGCGAAAACACACATCTCTCATCTTTCTGCCAGATGGCATCCCGAAAGATACTTGACAGCAGTAATCATGTCCTCCCACTAACATCCCCAGTTCACTCCACAGTTCTTCTCATGACTGGGTTTTAAGCAATTAAAGCACTGATTGAGCAATTATGGTCTCTGGACAAGTAAGATTGTCAAACTCCCCGCCCAAGTGCAGGACCCAAAACAGGCTGTGATACAGCACAGGAAGGAGGACCAGCCCCAGGGAGACAGGATGATAGTCTGTTAGTTCACTTAGAGATGGAAATAACTTTTGGCTCAAGCATGACAGCTGCCTCTCAAGCAGCTTAGAGGAAACTCAATCCACTAGGTCTCTGCCGCACTGTCAGCACTGCTGCTAAGCTGCCTCTTCAGACAAGTTCGTTTTTGGCCCTGACGTTTGGGACCACATGTACAGCTCCAGTGCACTTAATTCTGTTAGAAAAATCTGAGGAAGTGGGGAAGAGAAGGGAACACTTGAAAATAGGACTTCACAATCCCCAACGCTGGCTTCTTTCTTTTTCTTCTGAAACGTGTAAGCATAAAGTTGGCTAGTGCAAATTTAGCGATCCAAAGTTTTTTTTTTTTTTTTTTTTGCTGAGCACAGACACAGATTGAATTGAAGGGCACCAGGAGAAGCAAACTTCTTTACAGAGAGTCCAACCTGAAAGACTTTCACGTGAGCTGTGTTGTTTCATTTAGAAAATAAAAACTGAAGAGAAAGGGTCTTAGGAGGAAGAGAGGAGACACCCTTTTGTTACCAAGTCCAGACTCTATCTGCTCGCCACACAACAGGCCAGTAAATCATGAGCCGAGGTGACAGGACAAGGAATAACGACTCTATTCGGAAAGCCAGCAGATCGACAAGATGGCAGACTAATGTCCTGGAGAACCATCTTACACAGTCAGAATTCAGGCTCCTTTTATACTAAAAAGGGGGAGGAGCTGTAGCTGGTTGTTGCAAACTTCTTGGTGTCAGGAGTCCTTCACTCTTGCAGCTGTCCACGTAGGTCAGGGCACGATGTTCCTGTAATCCTCCAACAAGACAAATGTTATAATCTGTCCTGCAACTTTTTGTCTCTGTATGAATGGATAAGTGTCATACCCTTAAAGGTCAGAGCCTGGAGAATGGGCCGTCCTGTATATTTCAGGCGACAGGCAACGTTCTTTTACAAAAAGGTGCAGAACCAGCATGACTCAGCACAGGAAACAGAGCCCAGGGTTAGAGCTAAAGGAACAGATCCAATATGGAGTCAGATTTGTTCCTCCCTGTTAGCTTTGTCTTCTCCCTTGGGCCCCAATCAGGCGCTGATGTTCATCTGCACTGCTTTGCACCTGCTCTGGTTCCAGAAGGCCAGAGGGGCCTGTCTTCCCTCCCACCCCCACCCCTCTGCTTAATTACCCTGAACTTTGAACGTGGCTGGACCCTTTCCACATTAATTACACCTACAGACTTTGGATTTGAATTGACTATATTTTTCATGCAGGAATTTTGTAGCTAATTCGTTAGCTGCGACTGGAAAGCTTTAAAAAAAAAAATTATTCCTCATTACTGAGCAGCCAAGGATCACTGTTTCTAGTTCTGTTCCGCAAAGAACTTTCATCCATCGTCCTCTTGTAGACAATTGCGACACAGAGAACAGACTAAATTGTACATAGGGAAAAGGGTCCTATTTGCTGATGAAAAGATTTTCGTACTCTGTTACAACAGAATATACCTTTGAGATCTGATTCTGTGTTACCAATTTGTTCCTGACTTCTTCCTTGCAAGATCACTTTTTAAAATTCCTTCTTGATTGAAAAGTGGAATAGGCCAAGAGCACAAAGTTTTTCACATAGAAGATCTGTATTGTCTGAAATAAACCACACAGCCTCATCTGTGTATATTCATTTCTTGTGTGTAATTGCTATAAAATGCACATCCTCCTAAAACAATGTTCTTTAAAGTTTTGCTAAGACCTTATTATATTATATTTCATTACAATAATCTATGCCCCAGCCTTAGTCATTCCAAATTTTTAAACTTTTGCAACGGGTGATTTGAAGAGTAATTTTAACAAATGTGGTCTGACAGAAGATTAGGAAATGTTCCTCATTCACATTGTCTCACATGGAAATCATCTTTCCACCAGCAGTTAGGACAGATTCTAAAGGAAATATGAGGAAACAATGACTTTGAAAACAGCTGTATCTTTTCTCTTTAATGAGGAGAGTCGTTTTAGAAGAAAATTTAAGCCTCTGTTAAAAAAAAAAATCCAAAGACTCAGTTGGGTTTTCTTCATAAGTTGCCGACATAACCATGAAAGTAGAAATATGTTGACTCATGAGAGGACTTTTTTTAGTGCAGAAGGAACTATCATGTTCAAATATCCTTTATACCCTCATGGATCTTTCCAGAATGTTTGCTGGCATTTAGTTCATTTTAGTTTGTTTATCTTCAGTTGTTATATTAATTCACAATGTTTTTTGTAAAACAGCCTTTTTCATTAGTGTTTGATTTTGTACACCAAGAGGTTTCTTATCTTTGCATTAAATATATAGAAAAAAAGATAAGTGATGAATATCCATGGTTGATTAATAGACTCTTGTGCCTTTTGTTCTTAACAATGTTTTAACTGCCCTAATTTTGGATTTTTTATGGAAAAAAAAGTGTCATTTCTCTTTTCATCAGCCTTAAAAACCACAGCATGCACGCTTAACTCATTAAGTAACCAGGATCGACACAGTTTCTTTCAACTCCCCTAATCCATCAGTTAGAACATGAACTTGACAAGTTCCAACTAGGACACAGTTTCCTAACTCAGCAGAGCCTAATGGATGTTTGCTGCCTGAAAGTCTGCCTTCCTGAGACCTGGAGCGTGAGAGTGCAATTTAAACTGGGGGAGGGGTGGGCATGGAATAAATAATGTTCTGAGTTCAGGAGTCACAGTAGAAGAAAGGGCTCTTCCAAGCCTTATGGGTTTTCTTTTAAGGAAACTTGAGACCCACACACTTACAATTTTGAGTAAGAGGTTGAGTCAATGCCCCAATTTGTTGACTGGAATTCTGTAGAGCACACGTGCCCTCTTCCTAGGGGATTTAAGCCAACATTTAAAATACTGGCCCACACCTCCACCATTCTCATCTGACAGCTAAGATTGGATCCATTTCATGATCTTGTTTTTATTACTATCGACTCTGTGCTCCCTCTGACCCTGTGACTATCATAGTGAAACTGAAGTTACACTTTATGTCCTCAGATCAACTGGAATAGCTATATTTTGACATTCACTCTTCTAATCATATTTTTTTTCCACATAACTTTCTGTCACACAATCTACACCTTCCTAAAAAGTGAAGAGTAGATTCTTTGCAGCAACAGGTATATTTCTTTGTAACCTGCTAAGGTTCTTATAAGAACTGGTTTTAATTTGCGGCAGAGTAACAATCAGGGTAAAATTTGTTCTACTTTACCCACTAATTGGACATTTTTGTTCAATGAACTGGACTTGAGCTTTCCACTATTTAAAAGTGAAAGGATTTGCTAA